GACAGTCTGCCCGTGCGCACCGGTGCCACCGGGCTTGCCCCGAGCACCCACGTCACCCTGCGAATGGGAGACAGAGGTTGTTCAGGGACGGCAAGGACTGGGAGGGGATGGCATGGGGACAATGCTGCGGGCTCAGGGATGAAACGTGGAGGCTGCCACAGCACTACGTGGGACAGGGGTGACCCCCGAGGGGGTGACCACAGCCCTGGTTGCCCCAGACCCACCTTGTCTCCTGGGCCACCTTTACTTCCCGGCTGGCCTGGCAAGCCCTGCAGAAAGCAAGCCAGGATCAAACCCCGTGCACAGCATCAGAGGCAGCGACCCTGCCCGGTGCCCTGTGCGCAGGGGCAGCATCTCTGCTGGGTGCTGGCCCTGCACCCTGGCACCACCCTGGGATGGAGGGGTGCCACCCCATGGGTAACCTGCCCGGGCATGGGGCTCCCACACTCCTGTACTCACAGCTTGTCCCCGGTGTCCTGGCGTTCCTGGGCGGCCGGCCTGTCCCACGCCACCCTGCGAGGGACAGAGAGGATGTTATGGTGTGACGGAGAAAGATGCAGAAACAAGGTGGCCATGGTGGGACAAGGGACTCCTGGCCAAAGGGGGACGCTGCCCTTGACCTTGTGGGAACAGCCACACTCCACTAGTCAGGAGATGTCACGTCAAGGACTAGGACCATATGCCACTTGCTGTCCCCATTATTTCCAGCAAGCACTGGTACAAGGAACAGCATGTGTCCGTTCCCCATTGCCGGTGCAGGCAGCACCAGGCAGGCCCTGGCCGCAGCAGCTCACCTTCACGCCCGGGATACCCGGAGTGCCATCTTTGCCGTCGATGCCTGGGAGACCCTGCAAAAGGGGGAAGAGTTGCTCAGTCTGGCACCTCTGAGAGGGACTGAAAGGCTCAAGGTGGGGGCAAAAAAAGGCTGGGAAGGGAAAGCAAAGCTCCAGCCCTCAGCTGAGCCAGGGTGCAAGGACGCAGGATGGCCCCAAATGGGACAGAGAGAACTTCTCCTTGCAAGGGGCTCAGCCCTAGATGTGGGCACAGGTGCTGCTGGCTGTACTTACATTCTCCCCCTTGGGGCCAATATCTCCTTGGGGACCCCTGATGCCACGGCCACCCTAGAGCAGGAGAGAGCAAGTGTTATTTCAGCTGCCCTCTCGGTGCAGGGGGCAGCGCTGGGAGAAGGAGGAGATGCCCACCGAGGCACCCGGGCAGAGCCCCTGTCTGTGCCGGGGAGCAGGGCCAAGCTGGGGAATGGGGGGCATTGGCATCGCACAGGGCACAGCGCTGCCCTCCCCCATGGGGCAGGTTACCTACCAGATCTCCCTTCTCACCAGGGTCCCCAGGTGGTCCCTTGGGGCCTTCTCTGCCCTGGAGGGGAGAAAGATGGGGGCTGAGCAGCGAAGTGCAGGGTCCCCCACCTGCCCTGCAGCCCCCAGGGGACAAGGGAGGGCACTCACCGGCCGCCCAGCCGCTCCGATGGTCCCGACCATCCCTTTGTAACCAGCAGGACCCTGCAAAGAGAGGACAAGAGGGTCAACTCCTCCCATCCCAACCTCAGCCCCCAGCCAGGTCTGACCCCACTAGCAGCGTCTAGCTGCCCCAGATGGCCAAACAGCCATGTAAGTGATGCTCCTGGGAAGCAGCCTCCAGCCTGGGAAGCACCCCCATGGGAGCTGGTCCCTCTGACCCCGGAGCTGGGCCCAGCTGCCCCTGCGTCCCGCCGGTGCTTACCGTCTCGCCCTTGGGTCCCGCCATCCCGGGGTAACCCCTCAGGCCCTGCGGCCCCTGCAGGGAAGGAAAACAACAGATGCCTTAGCTGGAAATGGCCCAAGGAGCAGCCCAGGGGGAAGCTGCAATTAAAGCCAAAGCCGGTACTGGAAATCAGCCGGTTTTGCCAAATGCAAGGTATTTCAGTCCCGCCACTCGCTCCTAATTCTGCAGCCCCCCCACCAGGCGCCTTTCCAGCTGTCGGTTCCATAACAGCAATGGGCCCAAACTGGTGCTGCTTCCCCCGCCAAAGCTCTTGGCTTCAAAGCGGTTTTGCCCTTTCCCAGACCGAAGGGCTCAGCCCATTAATTGCTTTTCATCTTCAAAGTGCTCAGCGAGCTCAAACAGCTTTAATCCCCACGTCCCAGCGGCGAGTCGGGAACTGCACCCCCGCCCCGTTCAGGTGGGGTAAGGGGGGGCTTGGTGTACATGGGCAATTTGTCCCTGGCTGGTGAATTATCCACGTTAACGTGCGCTAACAACTGAGGTGCCCGAGCCAGCCCTGACCATGGAGGTCTCCATCAGGATGCAGCTTTGCCACCCTCCTGGTGGTGGCTTCATGGCTGGGAGGAGGGAGTTGGATGGCACGAAGGCTTTGCTCCGGTCCCAGCAGTGGGTCCCTGGGAGCAGGGACATACCAGTGTCATGTCCCCAGCGTCTGGGGCCAAGCACAAATGGGCTGCCCCCAACCCCTGGGGCACCCAGGGGGGACAGAGCAGCAAAGAGCAAAGCAGCAAAGAGGAATAAACATATTACCGGAGGGCCTGGGACACCTTGTTCTCCAGAGACACCGACATCACCCTTGGGGCCCTGTTGAGGGGTGGAGAAAAGCAAGATGAGTGTTGGGGTGGAGCAGGGGTATAAACTGCCCTGGGGACTCGAGACCCCCTCACCTGGGACCCAGCAGGGGATGGGGACAGGTCCCCCCACCCAGGGAGCCACCGTGGGAAGAAGACCCTGTCCACCCTCCATCTCCCAGCCCCAGATCTCCCTCCTCCCTCTCCCACCTCTTTCCTTCCTTCCTCCTTTCTCTCCCCAAAGCCCCCTGCCCTCCGGTCCAGCCCCAGCTCCCCCAGAGGCAAGCACGCTGGGAAGCTGCCAGAGAGGTCACTCACCTGCCTGCCCTGCCTGCCGGGCTCCCCAAGGGCACCGGGGCGGCCTCTGTGTCCCTAAGGGTGAAGAGGAAGATCATGAGCATCCCAGGGCAGAGCAGCGGGGTGGAGGCAGCATCCTCACAGATGCATCACCCAGAGCCACCCTGCCCGTGATGCCCCACCCTAGCGTGCCCGCTGGTGACATGGAAGGGGCTCAGCATCTCGCAGCCGTGAGGGCACGCAGTGAGGATGCTCGCTGGGTTTAACCCTCCAGGCTTTGCAGTGCAGGGAGCCAGGCAGCAGCACAGCTGGGGCTTCAGCACAGGGTCTCGCCCCCAGGAAGGGGCTGGCAGAAGCTGGGGAGCCGTGGGGGACCTCTCCCATAACACCTTTGCCGCCAGGACTCTGTATATGCATGTCCTTGTGCTCCCAGGGGAGTAGAGCAGCTCCCAAGCTCCCTGTGCCTCTTGACTGGGGAAGGCTCCTCCACTCAGGCACATCATGCTGGAGGTGATGGTCCCTGTTTTCTCCCTGATGGCTCCCTTACCTTCAGTCCCTGCAGTCCCTGGGGGCCCTTGGGACCTGGCGGGCAGCTGGTCGGGCACTGTTGGGGAAGAAGAAGCACAGGTTGAGTTGGGAAAGGACCCAAAGGCTGCAGAGAAGCCGTGCTGGGAAGGATGGGCTCCTGCACCACACGGTGAAGCCGGTCCGTGTGATGATGCAGGGGGCTCACCGCTCACAGCAAGGTTTCAGCTGGGGACCCTGCTCCTCCCCGCTCCTTCGGCCCCCAGTTACCAAATTACACTGGTGGCTGTATTTCAGGCCAGGGCTGCACACAGTCTCCCAGTGGCCGTTACCCTGCAAAGGCCTGCTGAAGGGACACGGTAATGGCAGCTCTCACCAAGAAATCAGCGCTGCCTTCCTCCAGTCCTTGGATGTGTCCTGGGGGGCCCTGGAGGGAAGGAAACTATCAGCATCTGTAGTTTATCATCAGCACTATTTTACAGGAGGGGTTAACACTACACCTGGGAGGGAGGGGAGCAAGGCATGGGGTCGGAGTTGTGTGCCAGAGCCCAAATCCCAGCCCCAAATCCTGGGCTGAGCATAGGTGGAAGCTCCTCCCTCTTGCACAAAAATGCTGTTGACTGGGGAGATACTCACGGGTTTCCCTGGAGGGCCTGGGGGACCCCGCGGGCCATCGGGTCCAGGGTCACCCTAAGAAAGAAGAACCACAGGAAAGGAGATTTAGGGGTGGAGAGGTGACAGGTACTGCTGGAGCCAGGGTAGAGAGGGGTGATGAAGCACCAGAGACCCAGGCTGTCACAGCAGTAACTGGGGCATCCCCCGGCCATGAGCTGGGCGGGGATGGAAGGCACTAGTGGACCTGGCTGCTGGCACAGAGTCCATCACTCACTGCAGGACCCCACTCTCCCACATTACGGGATCATCCCTGTTTATCCCAGGATCCCCGAAGTGTGGTGAAGTGGATGCTGGTGTAAGGAGGGGAGGTTTTCCTGTGCCCCCTCCTGACCCCTCACCTTGGGTCCCAGCGCTCCGATCTCTCCAGGAAGCCCAACCTGGCCTGGAAGCCCCTTGAGGAGAAGAGAGACATTCACTGAATGAGAGAGGCTGAGCCCCAAGACCCCCGCTTTGGGGGTGCTGAGATTTGAGCTCTTCCAGAACAGCCCCAAGTGGGGTCCCTGGCTGCCTGCCCCAGCCCTAGTAGCATGGCACTTACAGGTGGTCCTGGCAGAGAAGGACCCTGCAACAAGAAGAAAGACACGGTTGGTCCAAATTCTCCAACACCCCCCAAAACCACCAGCAACCCTGCCCTGAGCAGGACAATGCCCCCACCGCCACCAAGGATGCAGCTGGGGGAGCTGGGGCTGGATCCCCGCTCCGCTCCAACCCCGCTTGTGGGTGCTCAGGGAATGGGTACCAGAGCCTAAAGTGGGTGCATCACTAGCACCCACGGGAGAGGCAGATACTCACGGGGAGCCCCGGTGGCCCTGGGAGTCCAGGCTGGCCCTGCCAGGATGAAAGGGGAGAGTCAGAAGCCGAAACAGGAGGGTCTGGCCCCACCAAGCCCTGCTCCGCTGCTGTGTCAACTGCTAAAATTCGCCTCTCCCTGAATCCAGCCTCAGTGCCCCCTCGTTGCCAAGTACTCCATCGCCCAATTCCTGCATCCGTGCATCCCCTCCACGGCGATGGGGCTGGTCCCAGCCTGGCCAGGCCCCGCTGGCTCCAGGAGGAGAAGGTGGGAGCCCAGAGTGGCTGCCCCAGAGCAGCCCTTCACTCACTTTAAGTCCTGGCCCGCCAATGGGCCCTGGCTCCCCTTTCGCTCCCGTCAGGCCCTGCAAGAGGAGAGATGGTGGGAGGTTATTGCCAGCGCTTCTGTTCTCCAGCCAGATGTTTTTGCTGGGGCTCTTTCCATCACGAGAGTCTGAGGGTTATTAGTGGGGAATTTGTGCTTGTCACTGCTGTGCATGTCACGCAGCAAACCTGGAGATGCAACTGGCACCTGGACCCCAAGCCCCGCTGGCACAGAGAGCCTTGCAGCGATGCTCCAGAGCCCCCGCGAGCTGCCCAGCTCCGAAACCCCACTCTGGGGCTCAGCAGGGACCCTCTCACTGCCAGGCACATCCAGCACGGCTGCCCCAGCTCCAGCGGAGGCTTGTGGGAAGCTCAGCCCGTCTGTGATCCCTGTTACAGCAACTCCAAGTCACACTCTGGCTCCTCCATCCCCAACTCCAGAGCAGGTGAGGGCTGTGTCTGTGCCAGGGTTCGGATCCCTGCAGCTGATGGCTTGAGCTTCACCCATGAGCTAATTCCTGCATGCCGCTGGGCATGTGGGGACGGCACGGGTGGAGGGCCCTTCGCTCAGCCCAGCTCTGCTCAGCATCTGTATTCAAAGGAGCCAAACTCTTTTGCAGGCAGATTAGCCTGGATGAATAATGCATGCTTAGAATGACAGTTATTATTCCATTCATTTATTATTGAAGAATAACTAAAACCCCAAAGATTTATGAACTGCTGTCCAGAGACACAAAAGAGGACACCGTAGTTTGGGTTCCCTTCTCATGAGTGAGTAAATGCCTGACGCTCACAGGCGCTTACCCTGTGTTACCACTTACCTCAGTGCTGCACTGGGGATGGGGGGCAGGCACCCAACCCAAACCTCCCTGGGCGCCCATCACACACCTCTGTGTACCCCAGCCAGGGGACCATGGGGCCAGGAGCTGGCCCATCACAGCATCAAGGCAGGGCAAGGAGGCAGCTCCCTCCCGTTTCTGCCTGCCACCCCTATCTCGGGCTGTGCTTCTGCTGGGGAGGGGACAGTGGGGAAGTCACCAATGCCACCTATGTGGGTGCCAAGGGGTGACTCTGGGGGGCGGCCAGGGGATTGCTCCACATTTATTCTGGAGGAAACGAGAACTGAACCAGGGCTCAGGAGAGCAGCTGCAGTAAAGAGCAAGGAAAAGCCTTTTTGTGTTCAGGGGTGTTGGTGCTGTGGCTTTCCTGGCGCAGCTTTCGCCTGTGTGGGGTGGAGGGGGATGCTCTTTTGGAGCCCGAGCAGCGGGATGGGGTGGCAGCAGCCCTGCCCCAGCTCTGCCTGTGTTTCCTGCCGTGGTTCAAAAGGTGCTTTCAGCTCCGGCACGAAGGGGTTTTGGCACATTCTTATGTGCGACAGAAAAGGATCCCTGCGCCGGGGGTAAGAGGAGTTTGCTGAGACCGTGCTGTGACCCCGGGGGCTGTGGTCAGGGACACTGCAGGGTGGGACAGGGGGTCGGTACTCACATCGATGCCAGGCTTCCCTGGAGGCCCGTCTGGACCGGGGGCTCCAGGCTCCCCCTTGGCACCCTTTAAAAGAGAAGAGACATGGGGTCAGATTGAAAGGAGCTCCTCCAGAAGGGGAGAGACTGTCAGCAAGATTCAGGGAGGCACGGGTACTCACCGGGGACCCGGGAGCTCCAGCAGAGCCTTTGTCACCCTGGGGAAAGAGAAGGAGGTTGTAAAAAGGGGTCTGTCACCCCAGGGAGCCAGGCCCAGCTGTGCAGGGGCTCAGGACCCGTGTCTCCCATGTTCCTCCCCAAGCCAGAACGAGATGCTGGATCCTGCAGAGTGGCAGCCAGGTCAGGATGGGACTGGCGTGGAGAAGAGAGGGCTGTGCCGGGGTTGTGGGAGGGCTGCGGCTGTTCTGGG